GGATACCATACTCTATGCCTGGTATATAATGGGATTTGGGCATCCATGGATTTTTGTATCCTCAAGGAGTCCTAGAAACAATATCATATGAAAGCTGACTGGCATAACCTGGGAACAAAAACCAGACACGGTGAAGACATCTGCCTTGTGCTTTGCTACTCTGCTGCTGAGTATGCATGCCCAGTGTGGAACACATCTCACCATGCTAAAATAGTGGATGTGCCACATTATCACAGGATGTCTATGCCCTACATCACTGGAGACAGGCCCATAGCCAGGATTTCGTTTCGAGGGGGGGGGCTGAATTTTTTTCAGGGGGGGTTTCGGGGGGGGTGAGTTTCGGGGGGGGGGGCTGAGTCTGAGTGAAAGAGGGTCTAGCCTAGCAAACCTTTTGTATCATTACCCCAATACCCCCATGCATATGGGATATATTGAGTATGGTGATCAGATCATGATATGAATAAACATAACAGTTTAAATAATGCACCAGTAAGGCCTTTTCGCGAACCACCATGAGAATTTCGGGGGGGGGGGGCTGAAGCCCCTCAAGCCCCTCAAGCCCCCCCCCCCCGGCTACATGCCTGACTGGATAAATTATACTGTTTCACCGGTATTGTACCTGACATCTCTGGCCCATCCTCTGTTTGGATATCAACCAGCACACCAACACCTTAAATCAAGAAATAGCTTTCTAAGATCTACAGAGATACTTGCAGGAACACCTCAGCAAGTAAGAGTCCAAAAGTGGCAGGCTAAAACCCAGCACCTCAATCCATGGCTGATACCAAATGAGAGACTGGACTACTTGGAAGATGCAGAGCCAACCTTAATAAATGGGGCCACAAAGTGGAGTCCATGACATGCGAGTGTGGAGAAGAGCAAACCACAGACCATCTATTATAATGCAATCTGAGCCCTGTCACATGCACAATGGAGGGCCTCCTTATAGCGACACAAGTGGCACTCCAAGTGGCCAGCTACTGGTCAAAGGACATTTATTTATTTACTTACTTACTTACTTACTTACTTACGACATTTATATGCCACCCTCCTCACCCCGAAGGGGACTCAGAGTGGCTTATGATATATATATATATATATATATATATATATATACACACACACACACACACACACACACACACACACACACACAATATATTATATTATTAGCATAGTACAATATCAGTATTAAATATTACTATATTGTACTATACCATTATATTGTAATATTATTAGCAATATTATATGTAATATACATATATAATTTTATTATTATTATATTGCATTATATAATATTATAAATATTATATGTATATACAATATATTATATTACATTATTAGCATAGCAAATATTTAATATAATCCCAAGTTTTAAAACTTTGTGTTTTTAAAATACATCACAACTGTACCCTTGGTTTGCTTCTGGTATGATAAATAAATAAGGAGTCCTGGAACCAAATCTCAGTGGTCACGAAGGGCCCACTCTAGAGAAATGTTAGCTCCCAACATCTTCCTCCTGCAATTCTAGAAAGACGCTTTCAGGCAGAGAAAGCAGCAGTGGGCTAGCTTCTCCCTCAATATAAAGCAGGTTCCATATTTGGCAGCATGATTAATTTGCTCAAAACTCCAGCAATTCCTCAAGATTTCAACAGATCCTCCTCTACCCTGTGTGGTTTGGAGAAGCACATTCTTAACACACTCCAATATTCCCATCTCAGCAGCAGCCCACGCCTGCCTCCCTCCAAACAGAGAAAATCTCCACTCCATCAGTGCCAGCAGATAACTTCACCGAAGAGGAAAGAGATGAAAAAGAAGGAAGGGAAGGACAGACACATTCTGCCTTCAAAGAGGAAAAAAACCTGACCTTAATCTGAAAGGGGAAAAAAGAAATCTCTCTGAGTGGAATTACAGGAGACTCAAATCATTGGAATCTTCCCCTCTGAGAAAATAAAATACTTTCAGGAGAAGGGAGAAAGAAAAGGCCAAGCTGTGGAGAAATGGTTGAGAAGGAAACCAAACAGCATTCCATTTCCTGGTCCGATTCCCTTCTATTGGTGGGAAGGAGGGCGGAGGAGAGCCTTTGGCAAAGGAAATCCAGAGACTGGGGAGACTGAGGGGAGGTGGGGGGGGGGAGAGAAAGAGAGGGAGAGAGAAGTCGCTGGCTGGTTTGCCTTCCCTTGAAGGGCAGGCAGACAGGCATCCTTCCTGGCCAGAAAAGGGCGAGACACTATGTGCTGTGGGGCAGAAAAGCCAGCCTGGGATTGGTTGGCACTCTTTGCCTTGCATCCATATAGATTATGGGGAGGGGTGGGTTTTCCCCCCTTCTCTGCCCCTCAGGACTCTGCTTTTGGCCTGCAGTGGAGTTCTTTGAGGGGAAAACAGCCCTCTCCCTTCAAATATAGACTCTAGCTGGAAAATAATATATAACAGCTCCTATTCTGGCCCCAGCATAAGGTCTTGCATAAGTTTGACAGGGGTACCTTTGCATCCAAGACATCATTCTCATCATCACTGCCTTGCAATCCTCTTGGCTGGGCACAGTTCTCCTTGTGAATCAAAGTGAAGGTGGGTTGCTGTGAGTTTTCCGGGCTGTATGGCCATGCTCCAGAAGCATTCTTTCCTGACGTTTCACCTGCATCTATGAGAGGCATTCTCAGAGGTTGTGAGGTATGTTGGAAACTAGGCAAGTGGGATTTATATATCTGTGGAATATCCAGGGTGGGAGAAAGAACTCTTGCCTGCTTGAGGCAAGTGTGAATGTTGCAATTGGCCCCCTTGATTAGCACTTAATGGCCTTGCAGCTTGAAGGTCGGGCTGCTTACTGCCAGTATTTAAAAAACCCTCTAAAATCAGGACAGTAAATAAAGAACACCACTCAGAAAACAGAGGAATTCCAGACATGACTCAATCAGGACCATCTGTCAGGGGTGCTTTGAATGCAATTTTCCTGCTTCTTGGCAGGGGGTTGGATTGGATGGCCCTTGAGGTCTCTTCCAACGCTATGATTCTATGATTCTAGGGCCAGTTAACACCTCCCAACAAAGGATTCCCCCGGGCAGGATGCAGCCTGCTATTCAGTGCTAATCAAGGTGGCCAATTGAAACATTCACACCTGCCCAGGCCTGTAGCCAGGATTTTGATTCGGGGGGGGGGGGGGGCTGAGTTTGGTTTGGGGGGCTGAGTCTGAGTGAAAGAGGGTCTACCCTAGCAAACCTTTTGTATCGTTACCCCAATACCCCCATGCATATGGGATATATTGAGTATGGTGATCAGATCATGATATGAATAAACATAACAGTTTAAATAATGCACCAGTAAGGCCTTCTCGCGGACCACCATCAGAATTTCGGGGGGGGGCTGAAGCCCCCCAAGCACCCCCCCCCCGCTACATGCCTGCACGTGCCTCAAACAGACAAGAGTTCTTTCACCCACCCTAGTCATTATTCTACAGATATATGAACCCCATTTTGCTAGTTTCCAACAGACTCCACAACCTCTGACGATGCCTGCCATAGATGCAGGCAAAATGTCAGGAGAGAATGCTTCTGGAACATGGCCACATAGTCCGGAAAACTCAGAGCAATCCAGTGATTCCGGTCATGAAAGCCTTCCAGGTGTGCTTCTCGGGGATCCCGGTTCAGGTTCACCAAGCGATTGGGTTTAGCACTCAGATAATTGATTGGGAAACCGGTAGCCTCATCACACTAGAGGAAAAATCCACTTAAAATCCTGTTTCTGCCTTCTGCAGAATTCTGGGTTTGTAGTTTAGGGAGGGCCTTTAACAGCCTCGCTAAACTACAAACCCCAGAATTCTGAAGGAGGCAGAAACCGGATTTGAAGTGGATTTTTACTCTAGTGTGATGAAGTGACGGGTTGACTGTAACGCACACCTTCGCCTTGACGCTGGCTGCCAAACCCGGGTCTGGGAGCCTGGATCCCATCCCGAAGAAAAACGTGTCAAGCTAAGTGTGCGGGGGGGGGGGGGAGCCCGTGAAACCAGACAGCCCCGAGGAGCCTGCCTGGATTGTGAGGTTCTGATGGTGCCTCCACTCTCTCCACCCATTCTGCACAGGGAGGGGGGGGGGCAGAAGTCAGAATATCCAAAGACTTCTGCATTCCGGCTGGCTTTCCTTCCCTGGGGGTCGAGACCGGCAAGGCATCCTTCTCTCCTGTAGCAATCCCCCTCCCCCGAATAAAGAAACCGGAGGCAGCCCCGCCGCCTTTTCCCAGAGGCTTTCCTTGGCCCCAAAGCCCGCCTGGCGCCTTCCCTTCTCCCAGAGCAAGGGAAACCGGACCCAGTTCCAAACTGGTCGGTTTTCCAAAGTCTACTTCACATCTCCCCTTCAAAGATCCCCCCCACCCGCCTGAATCCCCCTCCCCAGATTGAAAAAAAACTGCAGCCAGAAGGGATACTATTTGGAATCGCCTTGAACCCCATTTGGAGTCGCCTCGATTCCCATTCGGAATCTCTCTTTCTGAGCAGGCAATGAACACAATGTGGGGGTGCTCTGCCCCCAGGGAGGGGGTCAGTTAGGAAATGCAACGCTCTCCGAAAGGAAGGGGGTGCAGAGAGATAAACGCCCTCCCTACCCCAAACTTTTGGGGTCCCATCTCGGAGGGTGCCTTCCCCTCCCCTCTCCGCAACTCCCACGCCCCGTTTGGCCCATCACGCCCCCCAAAAAGGCCAAGAGGAAGAGGGCACCCAGTGACTGGCTTCTCCCCACCCCAGACTCCGGTTCCCCCTTGGAGTTTCCACTCTGAAACAAAAGGAATCCGGATTGGGAAGGCAGAAAAAAGCAGAGGCAGGGAAGGAAAACGCCGAGGCAGGCAGCAGGCAGACTCCAGCTCTTTGGGAAACCCCACAAGTTCCTGGAAAAGCTCGCTGCGTTTTCTCGTGGGGAAGGGATCCGTGGCATGTTGGATGCTACGCCTCGTCGCCTGGGCGGGAAAGAATAAACCCAGGCGGAGGAGGAGGAGGAAGAGGCGGCAGGGCTTACCTTGTGCTGGAAAAGGGGGAGCAGCACCCGAAGTCCAGAGACAAGAGAGCGAGCGAGAGAGAGAGAGAAGGGGGGGGGTGTTCCTTGGGAGGGAGGCTGAGTCTGAGGCCGCCCTGCTCCTGCTCCTGCTCCACCACCACCTCCGCCTGGCTCCAGCGGGCGAGGACCGAGCCGGGAGAACTAACTCTCAGGCGGCGTCGGAGGGGGATTCCGCCATGTCAGTGATGTCGGACCACATGGGGATCTGGGACCAGCCCACATACCATACAGTCTGGAGTAGAGGCTACTGTGGGAAAAAAAGGAGGAGGAGGAGGAGGAGTGGAAAATCAGAAAGGGGAAGGGAGCGCAGGGAGGGGAGGGGAGGGGGTGCAGGCGCAGAAAAGCCAGCCCAGGAAGAGAAGAAGGGAAAGGGGGAGGGCCCGGCGCTTAGCAAACTAGAAACGCACCCGGTTGGTGTAGGTTTCTTCGGGCTATATGGCCATGGTATGATAGCTGGGTCCGGAAACTCCGAGCCTTACGCAGTTTGCGCAAGAGAGACTTAGCTAATGTAAGCCAGACCGGAGACAGATAATACTGTATAGAAGGAATGTAAGAGTTCTTTAATGGTGAAACCCGAACCCTTACCCTGAACCGTACTGTAAGTCTAAGCTTTACCCTAAGCCTTACCCTAACCCAAACCCTAAACCTTACCCTAACCCTTACGCTAATCCAAACCCTAAACCTAACCCTTACGCTAACCCTAACCCCAACCCAAACCCTTACCCTAACCCAAACCCTAAACCTTACCCTAACCCTTAAACTAACCCAAACCCTAAACCTAACCCTTACGCTAACCCTAACCCCAACCCAAACCCTTACCCTAACCCAAACCCTAAACCTTACCCTAACCCTTAAACTAACCCTAAACCTAACCCTTACGCTAACCCTAACCCCAACCCTAACCGTACCCTAACCGTAACCCCTAACGTTTACCTAACCCTTACACTAACCCAAACCCTAAACCTTACCCTAACCCTTATGCTAACGCTAACCCTAAACCTTACCCTAACCCCAGGCATGTAGCTGGGGGGGGGGGGGGGTTGAGGGGCTTCAGCCCCCCCCCCCAAATTCTCATGGTGGTCCGCGAAAAGGCCTTACTGGTGCATTATTTAAACTGTTATGTTTATTCATATCATGATCTGATCACCATACTCAATATATCCCATATGCATGGGGGTATTGGGGTAATGATACAAAAGGTTTGCTAGGCTAGACCCTCTTTCACTCAGACTCAGCCCCCCCCCCCCCCGAAACTACACAGCCCCCCCCCGAATCAAAATCCTGGCTACGGGGCCTGGCTAATCCTAAACCTTACCCCAACCGTAACCCCTTACCCTAACCCTAAATCTTACCCTAATCCTAAACCTTACCCTAACCGTAACCCCTTACCCTAACCCTAAACCTTACCCTAATCTTTATGCTAATCCTAAACGTTACCCTAACCCTAATCCTTCCCCTAACCCTTATGCTAACTCTAGCCCTAAACCTTACCCTAACCCTAAACCGTATCCTAACCGTAGCCCCTAACCTTTACCCTAAACCAATCCCTAAACCTTGTCCTAACCCTTACCCTAAGCATCCCCTCCTTTCTATCCTGCCTTCGCTCTCACTCCGCCCCCTCTCTTCCCTTATTCACAGCCGCCTTTGTGGCATCTCCATAAAGCTCAGAGCTTCCGGACCCAGCTATCATACTATCACCTGGCCATGTTCTAGAGGCATTCTCTCCTGACATTTCACCTCCATCTATGGCAGGCATCCTCAGAGGTTGTGAGGTCTATTGGAAAACTAGGAAAATGGGGTTTATATATCTATATATCATGGTGTTCCATGCAGTCATGCAAGCCACATGACCTTGGAGGTGTCTATGGGCAACGCCGGCTAAGAAATGGAGACGAGCACCACACCCCAGAATTAGACATGACTAGACGTAATGTCAGGGGAAAACCTTTATCTTTATCTGTGGAGCTCCTGGTGACACAGTGGGTTAAAGCACTGAGCTGTTGAACTTGTTGACTAAAAGGTCGCTGGAGAAAACCTTTACCTATATCTGTGGAATATCCAGGGATAAGTCTACATAGGGACCACCAAATGCAGCATTGCCCAAACAGGAATCAAGGAACATGAAAGCCACTGTAGACTACTTCAAACAGCAGAGTACCTGATGAACCAACCTGGGCACAGCATATTATTTGAGAACACAGAAATGATGGACCACTCTAACAACTATTATGTCAGACTACACAGAGAAGCCATTGAAATCCACAAGCATGTGGACAATTTCAACAAAAAGGAAAAAACCATGAAAATGAAGAAAATCTCACTACCAGTATTTTTAAAAAAAACTCTAAAATCATAACATAAATAAAGAAAAACACTCAAAACCAAGTGAATTCCAGACAAGAAACAATCAGGGCCAGCTAATCACCTCTCAACAAAGGATTCCCTCAGGCAGTAACAAGTCACACCTAAAAAAACAGTCAGGCCATCAAATGCTGATCAAGGTGACCAACTGAAACATTCACGCCTAGCTCCAACATACAAGAGTTCTGTCTCCCACGCTGGACATTCCACAGATATATAAACCCAATTTTCCTAGTTTTGCAACAGACTTCACAAGCACCGAGGATGCCTGCCAAAAATGTAGGTGAAGCGTCAGGAGAGAATGCTTCTAGAACATGGCCATATAGCCCGAAAAACCTACAACAGCCCAGTGATTCTGACCATGAAAGCCTTCGACAATATATATAAACACACCCACGCCTGTCCAATGGCACCAAGGCAAAGCCAGTGATGCATCCACACCGTAGAACGACTTCAGCTGCCATGTTTCAAGGCTAGAGAATCCTGGGATCCATTGTTCAGCGAGGCAACAGCACTCTTTGGCACTCTTGTAAAACAACTACTCTCAGGATCCTATAGCCTTGAGACATTGTGGTTAAAGTGGTGTCAAACTTTAATTGTACCATGTAGACATTCCCTAAAGGCCTGCCCTGCTCTAGTGAGGATGCCTTCCTGCCTTGCAATGTCTGGCCCTGCATAAGCCACTGGACTGCAGTCCCCATCGTCCTCCGTCGCTGCGCATACACACTAAACCTGCTGGTACTGCAAAGGAACAAGGACTGGAGAGTCATCAGTTGCCTCCCTGTCATCTACTCCCAGGATTCTCTCCAGATGTTGCTGGACTTCAGTACCAGGGTGCATCTCCATTAGAGAATTAGTGCAGCTTGGCACCACTTTAATTTCTATGGCTCAATGCTATGGAATCCTGGGAGTTGTAATTGGGCCAGGTCTTTAGCCTTCTCCACTGGTGCCTCACCGAACTACAAATCTCAGTTTTCATAGCCACTGCAGTTATAGTGCATCAAACTGCATTAATTCTACAGTGTAGAATTGCAAAGATGCTTTTCCTTGCAATGTATGGTCCTCCAGATGGCATTGGAATGCAAGTCCCATGGTCCCTCATCACTGCATATTCTGGCTAGTAGGAATTGCAATGGAACAACATCCAGAGAACCACAGGTTGCCTGCCTGTATCCTATTCTGGGGAAGCCCTCCACATGTTGGATTTTGAGTCCCAGAAGTTATAGTCAGCATTCTGGGAAGTACATTTCAGCAACATCTGAACACCAATTGGTGTTGAGTGAGCAGATACGAAGGTTAGGAGCATGGTCAAGTGGTTTCAGCATTGGGCAAGAACTATGGAGGCCAGGGCTTGAATCCCCATTTAGCCATGTGAGAAGTTCACCTTTGTTGTTGTTTATTTGTTCAGTCGCTTCCGACTCTTCGTGACTTCATGGACCAGCCCATGCAAGAGCTCCCTGTTGGCCATTGCCACTCCCAGCTGCTTCAGAGTCAAACCAGTCACTTCAAGGACACCATCCATCCATCTTGCCCTCGGTCGGCCCCTCTTCCTTTTCCCTTCTATTTTCCCTAGCATCATTGTCTTCTCTAAGCTTTCAAGACTTGTCATGATGTGGTGAAGTTCACCTTAGTTTTGCCATAAAGTCAAACAACTTGAAAATACCCCAAAACAAATACGGTTGGAACCCTTTGAATGCATTTCAGACTAAGTCCCATTCACACACTTATTTGAATGACACCTGCATAAGATCTCATTTTGGGTTGGCACATCTTTACCTTGTGCTGGAGGTTGGACGGATGGCCCTTCTGATCTCTTCCAACCATGATTATCTGATTCTACAAAAAAAATTCAGTGCTTTATAGAGCCCAGTGGGCTTTTCTTCTCTGTAGAAATGTATCAGACCTGAAGGAAGGAAAACAAAAATGAGAGATACAACTAATAAGCATACAACCTTCCACCCTCCATTCTACAGTACTGGGGTCTGTTTTAATTGTGTGTTTTGAAATTGTTTGAATGCTATTGATAGTTTTATTATATTGTAAGGTTTGTGTGCTTTTAGTAATGTGAACATTTAATGGTTGTTGTTCATTCGTTCAGTTGTCTCTGACTCTTCGTGAGCTCATTTAATGGTAGCTGTTTTAATTTTTGTAAGTATTTACAAATCTCAAATGTGGAAAAAAGTGCAGTATAAATAACTAATACAGAAGAAAAATATCAACCCACTGAACAAGTAAAAGAATGTATGATCAAATGGGCAGCCAATATAGGCTGACCAATAAAGATGGAAGAATGGGAGTACATATGGAATGACAAATTGGAAAAAAACAACATATGCATATGATTTGAAGGAAAATTGCTATAAAATAATGTACCAATGGTATATAACTCCACAAAAAATAGGAAAATATTATAAAAACATGCAAAATAAATGCTGGAAGTGTGAAACTCAAGAGGGCACAATTTACCACATGTGGTGGACATGCACTAAAGCAAAAAAATACTGGAAAGAAATTCAAGAAGTGTCCCAGAAAATACCCAACATTAAAATACAATTAAAACCAGAATATTTTTATTGGGAATTACAGACATGAGAATAGATACAAACAAAGACATACTTTTCAATTGCCTAGTAACTCCTTTTTTGTGTGTCAGGAGCAACTTGAGAAACTGCAAGCCACTTCTGGTGTGAGAGAATTGGCCATCTGCAAGGACGTTACCCAGGGGACACCCTAATGTTTTGATGTTTTACTATCCTTGTGGGAGGCTTCGTCATGTTCCCGCATGGGGAGCTGGAGCTGACATCCATGCTCTCTCTGGATTCAAACCTCTGACCTGTCGGTCTTCTGTCCAGCCAGCACAAGGGTTTAACCCATTGCATCACTGGGAGCTCCTCTAGGAGCCAATTACTGCTGCCAGAATAG